AAGTATACCTGTTAATTTTTAAAAAATACTAATACTGAATAATATTGATCTCCGAATCGCGTCTTAATAAAAAAACAAGTTTCCTGTATTGTATATATACTTATGTGTGAATGACAACGTGTATTTGTATCGTCGAAAAGAAAAAGTAGAATAAAAATCGCTTCGATTTCAGTAGGACAGGGTTTGGCATGAAAAATACATATGTATCGCGTGTTGCTTCAAACACAATAAAAAATTTTCAAAAACGGAAAAAGAAAAATACACATAGAATGGTGTGTGGTTTTACGAAAAGAAAGCAAGCGTCACTCGTTTTTGTTTAAGCGGACAATAGCAGGCAAAAATTTTAGTGGACAAATGGAAAATCGTCGTGTGTCGCGGACAGCATACAAGTGTGCCGAGAAACTCTATCGGTAAAAGAATAAAAACGAAAATCCGAAGTGTGAACAATCGACAAAATGCGTGATGCGATACGTTTAAAGGTGCTGCATCGGAATATTAAAGGTCTTTTGTTCTCATTCACACGTGTCTTGATATAGAATTGTTGACATTTAATCGTCATCAATATAATTGATTTCTCGTTTATATTAATTTTTTTATTTACTAATAAAAATAAATGCGTTGTTTGGAAACATAAAAAATCCATTATATAAAAAATAATCGGCAATAACTTGAAGTTATTTCACGATTGTAATTCAATTTGCCCAAATCAAAACAGAATAGCAAAAGCTGAGTGAAACAAAAGCTTTTTTGCGTCCGAAAATATGGAAAAAACCAATTTATCGCAGTTAATTACCAGTGTGTTAAATAATCTGAGAAATTTATTTATTACTTTTTTCAAATAATGTTAACAAAGCGTTGATTAAACGTTAATTGAAATATTTACAACCAGAATGGAGTAAATCCGCAAATTGTATAAGATTTATACGATTTTCTTTTTATTTACAGTTGTCCGTAGAAATTGTAGACTCGTTATATTGCCACGAACGTTTCAATTGTTATTGCGATATTGGAATAGATGTTGCCTGATCAATAGCCTTTTGAGAACAAGTTTCAAAGGGGAATGAATGTTAAGTTTAATTTGCGACGTGGTAATGTTGCATAGAATGAAACCTTTCGGCGAGTTCTCTGAGAGGGGGCTTCCTACAAGCGTTCCGGCTTTAACTTCGGCTAGTCTAATACAGGTCGAATATATATACACGCTTGCCTGACCGCTTTGTCGTCTCCACAGGTACCTAGGCTAAACCCGCAAGTTTAATTCAACGCGGTTCCGAGTGATGATAAAACGTAGATAGACCCGCGAAACAGTTTTCGCGCATGTTTTATCTGTCTGCCGACTCTATTCTCATAGAGTGTTAATTCGAGTTAATTGAAATTCTTCCTTTGTCTTTTTCTGAAGACGAACGAGAGACAAACAGACGATTAATCGAATTTAATTGATATTTGAGAGGACTGATTGCTTCTACACGGGAATAAAACACGAAAAGTGGAAAAATTAAAAAGCGGAGGAGGAGGAGTGAGGAAAGGAGATTTCTTCAAAGTTCTTACGTGTTACTTCGGCTTTAATTTAAGCTCCGATTGCTTAGATCGGGCCGACCGAATTTATGCCGAACAAATTCCTTCCCTTTCTGAGGCTCACCTTTATCTGACGTAAGTTTCACGAATATCTATTATGACTAAACAACTAAACTAAAATATAATAATTTGTCCACTTCGGTTTATCTATTGCCCATTTTCAGATCTTCTATATTTTTTTCTTTCCAGATTTGTTCGTTGCTCTTGTGTACGCAATACAAAAACACGATTAATTATAATCCCGCGTACTAATCATCAAGATTGGATAATCGCACAGTAATTTACATGACATTTCCGACGTTAAATGCACGCAACAATGCATTTTAGTATCATATATTCATAACGAAAAATAACACAAAAAGAATATAAAGGTCGTGGCATTACGATTCGTTCGAAAAATTCATGGAGATTGATATGAACAAAATTTCAAGCTGCAAACAATTTTAAAAACAATACAAACAATACAAATATACAAATGAAAAATTTGATACTGATATTTTTATACTGCAATATATTGCGATAAATAAAATCTATATCAACAACTAATTAAGATGCAATTATTCGAAAATCGAAATTCAATACCGCATGTCTGTCCAATATATTCCATAAATTCAATAAAGCACAAATATTGCTAATAAATGCTCGGTAAATAATCGTTTTTTTTTACTACTTGAATTATCAGTGATTTATACATCATTTTGTGTTTTTAATTCAAAAAAGTGATGAGCAGATTCTGTTAAAATGAACAAAAAATCAATTATTATCAATTTTATATATATATAAATTAATTATTTTAACATGTATAAAATTATAATTGGCAATAAAATTTAATTTGAAATGTGAAAAACAGAATATTGGTACAAATCTGTTATAAAAATTAAGTCGTTTAATATTTCAAACAAGAAATCAAATGGCACGATCTTGTATGCCTTTTTATACGCTGTCATTGTTATTCGGATGGCGAAATTTCGAATGAATAAATAATATGAATGAGATAATTCGATGAATATAAGTCTCTCATGTATTATTGCATTATTACTTAAAACGATTACAAGAGATAATTGAAAGACTCCAAACACATTAATTCTCTTAGCGTACGTCAGCTTATAAATTAACTTCCGCAATTAACCAATAAATGATTTATTTATATTGAAGCAGTTTATTAAAGCAAGTATAAATCAGATTCATTGTCACAAAATATTTAATGCATTATAAAATGAATGAATATATGGCGAATATTCTATTCCTTGTATTTCAAATTAATTTCGGTAAATAAGCTTCCGGAGAGAGCCTTTTGAAAAGAAAATATTGTTATTTGAATCCTAATTGCATAGTTCTTGTAGATAGATATATAAAATATTAAATTAAAAAATAAAAGCAACCAAGGCAACGAAGATGTTATAAATAGAAAAAAATAATTAAATTATTTGTTATTATTAGAGTAATGGACCGAATCTCTTACTGTTTAATTATTAAATTTTCGATATCTGTTTGTTTCGCCATATATCAGGGTTGATTCATTTCAATTAAACCAATTTAATTTAAATTTTTTAGCAAATACGTGAATCTAACTTGGGCAGCGCAGTGACGACAAATAATGTCACCTTGCTACCTGGGAAATTATCTATCTACCCGCAGATTAAACAAGAAGAAAGTGTATTTTTCTATGTATATTTTTCTAAAGAACACAGTTTTGTAAAGCAACGTCTGTTCATTCGTTGAAACATGCAGCAACACTGAGAAGTAATATCACGTAATTTGCAAGTATGCAGTACAAGCTCTGCCGTCATATCACCTTTACGGGAACATGCTTTCGTCGCATGGTTGACTTTAGTTAGAACTAGAATTCGTGCTACAGCGGTTATTACGACTACGTATTGTCTGATGCAAAATTGTAATATAGAATTATCTTAAAATTTTTGACAAATACTGTGTCGAATTGTGTTAAAAGTGGTTAATATTGAAAGAATCAATAAAATATTGTCGAAAAAAATTATACCTATAACTAGGTATTTTCCGTTTCGGCGCGTTGTTTTTCCAGTAATGGTAATTCAGAAAATATCACAAGGATCTTGTATCACACATTTCATTAAAACAGTGCAGAAAATATACCAAGAAAATGAAGTTTAGGTATACTCGCTAACAATTCCTGGAATTCTCAGAGAGACACGTCTTCTCCGAAACGTGGAAGGAAATGTGGATAAAAACGTGTTCTGAATGACTGGACTTAAAAGTAATGATAATTAACGCATTTACTTTTAGAAATTTTGCTTGCTTTACACACGATACTAAATTATGATATTGCATGTTACGTGTTAAATCATGAACGTAAGTATTACTCGCATATTTTTCACTTAGCATGTTTTACATTTACTAATACGTATATATTCCACGATATATCCCACGTTTTGCATAAATAATAATTGTTAGAAAGCGCGTTAAAAAAATTTTATTTCGTATTATTTTTTATTTTAGTTTATAGTTAATAGATTTTAAAAATGGATATAAAATATAATAAAATAACAAATATTACATTTAAATATTTGTCGAAAATATATCGTACTGTACGATTTAAAATAACATGCAACAGAAATAATTTAATTTTTTTAATAGAAATTAAACAAATGATGAATTTCTTCTCATCATTTCTTTCATTATTAATGAAAGAAATTTGTAATAATTTATTAGCAATTTTACTGCTAGCAGTATTTTACTGTTAGCTCGTTATAGAAAAAGTAAGTAAAGAAAGGAAAAGATAGATTTATTTAGATGAGCTGTACGTATCTTATCTTACTTTATTGGTTTTTTGTGAAATTGATATTACACGTTGATGAAAAAAAGTATATTCCATCATGCTTTACTTATTTATAACTTTTTCGTGCAAAAACATGTTACGCATTGATATATAATCATTTATATTAATTCTTAGCATTTATATTAATTCTTATATTAATGCCGTATAAATAGCTAAATTTTTAGAAATTAGATTTATATTTTTAGGATAACAAAAATTACAATTCTTTTACTGTGTATTATAATTATATGTAAGAATCATATCAAAAAAGGTACAAATATTAATATACCTTTATCGTTTTCTGATAAAATTATATTAAAGAATTATATTAAAGAATACTATATCTTGGTTTTAAAAATATCATAGTGTGCGATTACAAGGCACTCCGCTTAATAGAATTAATTTAATATGATTCATATGATAGTGATTAAATGACAAGAAGCAACGTTTGAAAATCATTTTTGTCCGCGTGAGCTTGAGCGCCAAAAATATCAAGGAAACACCGAACGGCAGGTGTGGCACTCTTTCATTCAATTAAATAAAATTTGTGGCGAAGGGCGAAAGAGAGCGGAGTAAAAAGAGGAAAGTGGAGTAAAAGGGAGGTGGAGGTGGAGAAAATAATGGAACGTCAATAAAAGGATGGCATGACGCGGACCGAGGAAAGCCATTATGTTTATTTATTACATCACGGGTTTTCGATTCAGAATGGTGTTGACACTGTGTAAATAACAGCACCCTGGTTTGGTGATGTCGGGAATACCATATCTTCGAGCTCCGCTCGGTTCTTTGTGCTATTTTGACAAAGATATGTTCGGAGATCTTCCACGAATTGTTGAACGCCATTTTTATCAATAATAGCCACGATGCAACCACCCCAACTATAATACGGAAACAACAACTTGTTTCATTTTTATTATAAAGCAGTGAAAACAAAAGATAATTTT